TATGTATGTAAATGCATATTTAAGTAAATATGTATGTGTATAATGTTTAATTTTCGTATACATATACATTTGAATATACATATATAATATACATTATATATGTACATACATATATGAACATATACAGGAACTGAAGCTTTAAAAATCGCGATGTTTTCATGTGTATGTACATATGTATGTTGTATCTGACAATCGACGACATCAGATGAGAGAAGTGTGGGGACTTAAATGCTGATGCAAAACCTAAGACATAAAAAAAGTACATACACTCCTACATTAAGCCATACACACGAACATACACATACACACACAGAGCTTGCATATCTGGTTTTATGTCTTTTCCGAGAACCAACGAAGTTCCCTCGTTAAATAAGACGAATATGTGCGAGTGTGTGAGTGCGAACGTGATTGTGAATGTTTTCTGTTCTCAACAGTGCTGCCAAGAGGCAGCGGAAAAAAGTGATAGGACGGAAAAATATATATTATATATGAACTATATACACATGTCAGTGAAGTAAGGCTTATTATTAATAATGTTATAACTTAATATGCTTATTATAAATGATTTGCTTAGTATATACTATTTGCTGATACATGTTTAAGTAACAAAAATTTTTCCGCTTGCAACAAATATTTGATCTAAATAAGAAAAAACGTTTGCATATTGCACGCTCCTCAAATATTGTCAATGTGTGGCTAGGTTCGGTTGTTAAAAAGGATGCATCTCGGAAAAGGCTATATTCTTGCAGATTCACAGCCACAGATTATGTTAACGGAAAAATGCTAAAAGTGCAGCACTAACTTACAATCACATGCAGAGGTAGTCCGGCAGGCAGGCAGGCCTGGCATGCGCTGGCATTGGCAGATGCAGGCAGGCAGGCTCAACTTAGCTCGTAGCTGCGCTCGCATCTCTCGTGGGCTTCATAGAGAAAAAAGATCTTGGAATGACTTGAATAAGACGTTAAATTACAAAGGAAAACATATAATGAGAACGTTGGGCGCACAGCCAGAGCATTTTGAGATTTCGTTCCAGTCCCGCTGTTTTGTCTGTCTTTCCTCGCTCTGTTCTCGCTTCTGAGCAGAAATTTGGGTCCGGAGTTTCAAAGATTCTCGTTGCTTGCAACTTAAAAAATTATATTGTGCTGCGCCGCAGGTTGCTGAAGATTGGAAAGGTTTGCCATCTCCTCCCTGTCTTCCTATACTTTGACAAATGTTTGCTGCTCTTTTCAGGTAAATTGACTATTGCTCCGTATACCCTAAGGAAAATATGAGCTGCCCATTTTCTAACAAATTTAGGCATATATCTTAGTTTCCAAAGTAACACAAATGCACCCGACAGCCATTTCAAAAGATAGAGACTGCTCCATATAGATGTACGTATATGTCACTCTTAATTGCTGATCTATAAAATAGCTGGCTAATTCTGTTTGACGTGATTTTCAAGTGAAATATTCATAGATTGAGAAATAAAACTGCCCTATATATATATGCATATGCACATATGTATGTATGTACATATTTTGCGTGTATATANTGGACGTACGATCTTCATGAAACTTTCAGATTATGATTATAACATGGATATGCATGTAATTGCCAAAGCACAAGTCTCTAGTATTTGAAATACGCTTTTTACAAAAGTGAGGGTGAGGGGGTGAATTTAAGGGTGGGGGGTAAATTTTAACAAAAACCGAAATTGTATAAATTGCATATAAGCATACATTAAAAATTTGGAGACTAGCAATAAAGGTGTAGAAGATATAATTTTGTAACTGGTTTTCGATAAGGTTTTTTATCGATAAAAAAAGGTCGGGATGAGTTATCGATTTTTAATGATAAACTTGATATGCGCGCTGTAATTACGAACATTTAAAAAAAAATTTGAAGTCTCTAGCTCTTATATCTTCTGAAATCGACGCGTTCATACATACGGACAGACAGACGGACAGGGTCAAATCAACTCAGCTCGTCGCCCTGATCAAGAATATATATACTTTGTGGGGTCTGCCACGCCTCCTTCTGCCTGTTACATACATACATGTCAACAACAAAAATTATATCCTGATTTCCCATTGGAAATGGGTTCAGGGTATAATGAGAGATAGGAGATTGCTACTTTAATGAATTGAGTCTATAAGGATTTCCTTTCAGGCACCTACTTTCTCTTCTTTTAGTTTTTGTTTTTTAATTGTGGATAGATTACATAGTTACTTAAGCTTTAATAATAATCAGATATTGTGAAAAGTTTCGGTGATTATTCCTTCTTTCCGACAGGCATGTGTATACTTTATATGTACATATTTAAGTATTCATGTATGCATGTACATATTTAAGTACGGGCCAACTGCATTCGGTGGCAACAGTGTGTAAATGTTGACAATCTCAAATAAATATGTATGTGCTTTATGAAAAGACACAAATATGTATACAGTATACATCAATGTAAATTTACAATAGCATCGAGTCGATAATTCGTGTAAGATGTCGAATGCTTGAGTTGTGGAAACAATTTGGTATGGAATCTTTCTAAATGAGATACCATATCTATTGTTATTTCTATCTACCTACATACATGCATGCGAGCGCGGATATTTTTAGCTATTCCTATAAATGTATGTATATATACATACATAAAAATATGTATGTATATGTATTCAACTGGAATTGTCTGAAGCCCGCTCAAAACTAAAACAAACGAGTGTAAGCCTTAATCAAGCAGCGGTGGCCATTTACACAAATGACGTAAAGTGAGCATTCAAAACCCGGATACAGGCTGGTAATTTCTTTATAAAAAGAGCATTTTGTTGCATTAATTGAGCACATATACACACACATGCATGTACACAAATACCGTCGACTTAAATACGATCAGGAGTGAATGAGCAAATGAGAGGTCCGATTTTCAAATGAGCAAAGAGAAAGATGCCGGCAATGAATGAGCTGAAACGAGATAGTGATAGAGGAGAGAGGCCAGCATTGAACAGAGCGCAGTGCAGACACATTGTGGGTGCGCCTAAAAGATGGTCTGTGCACGTCTTCTGCATAACAAGTAGCAAGTAGTTAAGTCGGGCTCAGCGAAGTCGCGATATACATATATACATACATGTGCATACATGCAAGTGTGTGCGTATATAGACTTGTATGCATACGTGTGAGTGTTCATATTGTACCTGCTATGGTAAGGTTTGAAAATAAAAAAAGGGAGACAACAGCTTAATCTTTGTCAGTGATGGCAGCATTCAGTAATGAAGAGATGTATTGAGAATATAATATATATATATA